ATGTTCCTCTCTAACTAACAAATATCTTCTCACTCTGTACTAGAACATTTATATTTTAATATGTACAGTAAAGTTAATTACTCTTTGAACAGTAATACAAACAATAAACAATGTTTTCTGTTGTATTAATATCTCTACCTTATTTTAGTTTTATTTTTACAGCAGTATTTTTTACTTCCTTGTTTTAAAATTCAGCAAAAACCTTTAGAAAATAAAGCTTTCAAATAGCCATATTATGCCTAAAAGGGGCTGGAAATAAATCCCCCATAGACCAGTGTCTATAGAGCAGGTATTTGTTTATCACAGCACTGGTGGTGAGGAGATATCTCCACCTAATTCACTCATCCTTGTCAAGTGCTGTGGTATATTTATAAAGACAGTATGGCTTCATGTCACTATGTCACTACAATATCAGCATATACATGCCAGAACGAATTTACATTGTATGATCTCGTGGTTATAAAAAGCTCTTTTGCACTGTGCTTGCACCCCCCCAGTTTGGGGGTCATCAGGGGTCTTTGATGAAGGCTTCCAAGGTCTTCTTCACATTTGAACTTTTCATCTTTGTCTTTGGAGCATGCAGAGTTAGGATGTTCCTTGTCTGTCTCATCCCAACCTGCCTAAATTCTTTGTTTTGTGGCTAATTGGCTTAACATTTGCCAATTTCTCATTAGTATTATACTTATCTATCTCTAAAGCTATCCACCTGGTGTGTTTTTTTCTTCTTTTTTGTCTATTCAGCATTGAGCAGATAATTAACCATATACTAGCCATTACATTGTCTAAAAAGTTATTTATATAAGGTTATATAGGTATAAAATGTTATGATTCATGTAATATAGGTATAAAAGGCTATAAGTCAGGTTATTTACATATAGAAAGTTATGATTCACGTTATATAGATATATCAGATTATGTCTTATAACTCAAGCTATATAAGCACCTTGTGACTTTGACCTAAGTTATGTAGGCTTCTCATGAAAGAAATCCACTGTTTGCAGGGAATTAAGATAATGCAAATGGTTTTGTTTCACTAATGGGTTGTTTTATTTAAAACCTGGTCTTAAGAAGAGTCTTTGATTTGGATTCTTTGGAGTATCAATTTTGGTGAAGAGTTGCCATTTGATTTTGTACTTTGTTGTTCAATTCCATTACTGTTTTTAAAGCTTTGTCATTGCGCTTAAAGTGTAACACCAAGCAGGCTTTAGCTCCAGCACTGAGGCGTGTGATGATTTCAGTGTTGCTGCAGCAGGAAGCTCTTCCTGGCATGCACTTTATTCCCTGTAGCTTGCCTTCCAGTTCAGAGAGAAAACCAGTAGATGGATTCTTATTGTAGAAAATTATCCTTTATATTAAATGTTCAAGTGTTCCTAACTGCTATGACAAGGAAGTGCTTAGAATAAAACAATCTCTGGATATAGTTCATTTTTTGCTATGCTCTTCTCTGTTTTCCTGATGTTGCTACAGATATGGTAGTCTGTTCTGCACTTGAAGACTTAAAAAAATTAATTCTTTCAGAAAGGCAAAGTGCTAATAGAATGTGAACAGAATGAAGGGTCTTGATTTCTTCACCTGGTGCAAGTCCTTGCTTCTCTGTAGTATTCCCCTTTTCTCTCCAACTGCTCTGTGTGGTTGTATTTTTAAATCTGGTAATAACGTTGACCTCCCAGCAGACATATTTTTTTTATTATTATATTTTTAGTTGTTTAATTTCTGGCAAAGTTCTTATTTTATTAAAAAAGTCAGAGTGGGCAAATACTGCATATGAAATAACTCCTTTAGAGTTTATTTTCTGATCACCAAAAATTAAATTATTCCTTTCAATTATATTATTATTAGTAGTAGTATTATTCCTTCACGTTGCTACAAACTGTTCACTCTTTTTATTAAAACAGATTGTCTTCTGTGTGCTTGATGTTTTTAATAACTAGTATTTTTTACCAGAAACTAAACATAGCAAATGACTCCATGCTTTAACAGCATTATGTGGTTTTTTTTCAGATTATTTTCTCTTTTACTCACTTACTAGAGCTGTCAGTTCTGGAAGGCTACTTATTTGCATAATTTGTATTTTCCTGTCAAATTACAGAAAATAGAAATATCAGTTGTTATGACCTTAGCATCATCACCTGAGTCCACATCTGTTTCCTCTTATGCTGTTTATCTATAAAATCAGTGCAAAACCATTGCATGCAATGCACATTCTGGCTGGCATTAAGAAGAAATTCCCAAGTTTTTCTTGGAAATTGAAAAATTCTTTAGAAAAATTAATAATATTGTCTTGTGATTATAGTGAATGTCAAAGGAAAGGAGATAGAATAATTATACCAGATAAAACCACCCTGAGAAATATATTCTCCTGTCATTCTGTCTATTGACAGTGTCTGTGCTAAGGAATCACTGAAATGAAGAGATAATTTCTGTGTATTAATTAATATTTGCTTAACTTTGCAAAGTGCAAAGAGCCTAAAGATTGGCTGTCAAATATTAGTTGTTCATTTATGTTGTTCAGATAGAAATTCTGCCTGTACCTTCTACAGTGTCTGTGGCGGCAGAGGTATTGAAAAGAACAGGAGCAAAGTCTGTTTCATGTTCTTGCAGGCAGCAGTGCAGTACGTTTCATTAACTTGGAAAACTCTCAGAAAGGGTTTTCTGCCCTGACTCTACTAGGGGGAAGCAAGTAACTGTAGAACAATTGCTTTCAGAGGATCATAGAATATGCTGAGAAGAAACCCACGTGGATCATGAAAGTCCAACTCCTGGCCCTGCACAGAACATCCCCAAGAGTCACACCATGTGCCTGAGAGCATTGTCCAAATCCTTCTGAGAGTATTGTCCAAATCCTTCTTGAGCTCTGTCAGGCTGATGCTGGGACCCCTTCCCTGAGAAGCCTGTTCTAGTGCCCAGCCACTCTCTGAGTGAAGAACCTTCTCCTGATAGACAGCCTAAACCTCCCCTGACACAAATGCAGACCATTCCCTCAGGTCCTGTCATTGGTCATCAGAAAGATGTTAGTGCTTGCTCTTCTGCTTTCCCTGAGGAGGAAGCTGTAGGTCATCATATAAATCTTACTCTCATTTCAGTCCTAAATGTTCATAGCTGGTTTCTTCACTAGTAGTTCACCCATAGCCTGATTTTGAAGATAACGTGGTAAAGGAAACTACCAAAGCAATTTATTTTGGTAGGTGAGCTTTCAGGAGGTTCTCCTGAGGAAGACTTTTGTCAAAGGTTAGAGATTTTTCTTGCTAGGGATGTTTGTATGGCCTGTTAGCTTTATTTTGGGCACACTGGATTTAAGTTGTATCCCCTCACAAGTTTCATCTGTGTTAAGCAGAGGTCATATAGTCTTTTGGATTGCCTCTTCATATGTTACAAACCTGAAACTTTGTTTGCCTCATGTAAGAGGATTTCTTTATCTATCTCTTCCTTGTATCCTGTGAGCTGGTTTCACACAGTTTTGTCACATTGATGATTGGAACTTCAGGCACCATGAAATGGTTGAACATGGCCTTGTGTATCTTGGTGATACTATTCTAGTGTTATGTAAGCCTGTTTCTTATGCCTTTTAGAGCAACCTTTTGGATTTTTTCTCTCTGTTGTCATATTGGTGCCTAACATTCAGAGATGTACTAATATGCCATTCCTACTACTCAAAGGCAATTAGAATATTTAGCATAAATTCTTGTTAGAAGCCTAGATGTATCACCTTGTATTTTGTACTGGTGAATTTAATCCCAGTTTTGAAGAGCAGCTGTTAGGGTGGTTCAATTCTTCTTTTGCAAAATCTCTGTATTTCTAACATTGAGCAGCAAAGTTCATCTGTAGATACTGGGATTTTGCACCATGATTGTTAACAAAATACTAGTAGTACTAATCTCTAATAACCTTCCTGCATCCCAGTACTTCTGCTTTCAACATGATTTTCTAGCTCCCTTTTTAGCAGTTACTTACCCTCTTGACAGTTTTTCCAACAATCCTCATTTTCTCCTGCAAAACTAATGATTTTCTATACTTCAAAAGATAAGTGCAGTTATTTGTATTCCAGCTCTTTGAAAAATCCATGCATCTCAGCAATATTTTCCCTGATGTCACTTAACTTTGGGAAATCTACATTGATTTTCTTTTTTTTCTCTTCATGCTATTGATTATTCTTTCTAGGTCTGAAGCCTTGGTGTTCTGTACATAAGCATTGCATTTGTTACTCTTCAGTCAGATACCACATTAGCAGCCTGGTGTTCAAAAAGTCTAGCTGTACCTGTATTTACCTGTGCAAGTTCTTTCAGACTTCTGGGCTGGATGGTGTCTATGCTTCACACTCTGCCCCCTTGGCTGTGCATACTGAAGCTATTTTCATTTTTGCTTCCAGGATGGTAATGGTAATTTCCATATCAGTGTGCAGCTGTCATAATTTCCATTGAAATTAGAGGAAGAACTATTTGTTCAGCCTTGGCCTTGATGCAAATTCTCACTAAAACAGATTAGAGTTCTGTATCAATATTGAAATCTAATTTAAGGGCCTGGAGATTGCTACCTGACTACGAGGAGTATTTAAGGAAGTTGCTTTCTTGAAAGCACTTTTGGCACTACTAAATTCTGCTTTATCATACCATTGTATTTCTTGAAATGGGCTGTGTGAACAGTTTCAGATTTTTCTTCTCCCTGACCATTTCAATTAGTTTAATAAATAATACTGCTTCCTCCAACAAAGCTTTCATGGCTCATTTCTCTGTAGTCAACCATCATTTTTTGTATCTCTCTTCTTCCCATCTAGCGGAAGTACAGAGGCTGCCAGATCCCCATGATCATATTTCCTCTGTGTTTTGCTTGGCCAGTTTATGTTGCCTACAGGCTTTAGCTCTTTGAGGTTCAAGGCTCAACTGAGGATGTTTTGGGGGAAAAATTAGCTAGCAATTGAAAAAGGAACCGAAAAGTTGCTAGGAACTGATGCCTGAAATATTTCTAAAACATTTCTGAACCACAGGTGTTCATTCACTTTTCAGATCCCCCTTTCCCAGAAGTAGAATTTGTTGCAGTTAAAGGTTCTGCACCTTTGCTCAGACTCCGGAAAGCAGAAGATCAAAATGGACCAATCAGGTTTGTCTTTGTGCTAGTCACCCTTTCAAAGAACATTTTGTAGATTCATGTTAAGTATAGATTAGAACTGTTTTGGGTGACAAGATTATTTTTTTTTAGCAATGAAAAAACCTCAAACTGTACCCCCCAGTTTCTCTCCCCTTAGCAGAATAATATTTAATTTCAGTCTTTTTGCAGTTTTCTGGAAGAAAATCCTAGTTTGGGTAATTGTGAGCTTTCACCACTGACTTTGTGGTTTTATTTTGTTTTTCTTTTCGCTTTATCCACAGTGAGGTTACAGTAGATCTTTACTGATGGATACAAACACACCTCTATTGATGTGATTTTTCTTTTCCAATGAACTCATGCAGTACATTTCCCCACCCCAGAGCCAGAGGAAATAGTGAATAATATCCTTATTTATGCATATTCTGAAGTACATAGTAGTGAAGTTCATAGTAGTGTATTACTATCAAAATGCATTTCTAGAGTAAAAGGATTTACCCCTTACTGAGTGCTGTTTGTGACAGAAGGAACAGGTAACTCAATATTACACTGAAGCAGAAAGTACTTGAAAGTTAGTAACATTTAATGGAATGGCTGGTGTAACAACAGTAATGAATAGTCTTCCTGCAGTTGAATATGATATACTAAACATTGTTTTGAGAGGTATGAAGACAGATTTGATTAATGTTTTTTAAATGGTACCTGTACTTTCCTCCTTTCAATAGAAAAAATCTTGTTTCTTTGAACTTACAAGTAATTTTTGGAGAAAATATTATTTCATAGGTGAACTTCAATGTGAGGAGGAGGAGATAATCTGAAGTATGTCAGTTTTATGTTCTTCTGAATATCAATAAGCATGTAGCAATAACATGAATGTGATGAGAAGACCCAGCTCTAAGCTCTGTCTGCAGTGCATCTTGCGAAGTGGAACACACACACACAAATATTTAGTATAAATGTTTGGAAAAAACAGGATGATTATCTGATGCTTATTTCATTGAAATGAGGGCTAATATTTACTTTTTTTTTTGTTGTTTTACTCTAGTCTTTATCAAGTGATTGTGCTTCCTCTGGATTTGCAAAGCACTTTTATTTGTGACTCCTTTGATGCTACAACTTTCTTTAGTAACACCACTGACATTAAAGGATATGTGGCAGCTGAATTTCAGGCGAAGGATGTTGCTGATAATATGTCAATTGCTCTTGGAGACAGACATTATTATGGGAAGTTTTATAATGCTCCTTTAAAGCTGGGAGAAGAGTATTGTGTTTTTTTGAAAATAATAAGTGAGTGGAATAAGGTAATGGATGTTTTAAAGCCTCTTCTTTACACCTCTTGAATGAAATATTGCTGGAGAAAAATGAAAATATCAGCTAGGTATTCATTTTTTTTATGATACTTCAAGGATCTCCTAGCTGACAGAATTAGATTGAATCTGAAGCTCTTTAAATATCTCTTAACATTACTTAATGGTACTTATGTCATTCTAATGGTGAAGCAACTCTGAATGCCAAAAGTCAATCAACAGAAAATAATTAAAAATGAATGGTCATCCCTGCCCTCAGTAATTGAAGGTGTCTGTATTGAGCCAGAATTTACTAAAAGAGATTAGTATGAGAACTTGAAAATCACTCCTTACCAATGATGAATCCACCCATTTTCATTTTTAATTAAATATTTTATAATAATGTCCCAATACTCCAAATGACATAGAAAAAAATATTTTATCAGATGTTGTTATCTTCCAAAAGGCAGTGAGCATCTGTTCCAGCTTCACTGAGAAATCCTTACGGAAAAAAAAAGTATATTTTTATCATTAATTTTATATAATTTTAAAATAAATACGTATTTTTAATTAGTAATGAAAAGTTTCTAAAATGTGCATATCATCTAGTTTTTCAGTTGTATCTATCTCAGGAGTTAGCAGTTTTAAATTTTTTTATAATATATTTTGTCTCAGCAGTAGAAAGTTTTTCTCGCATGGGACAGGGGATAACTCCTTGTGTGCAAAACAGTTCCTGAATGTCAAATGAAAAAACTGAACTAAGCTAACTCAAAACAGCGCCTCATCTTGCCATCAAAATAGAGTTTTTAGGACTTTGTGTATACAGCACAAAACAAGAAAGCATGCAAAAACTGATCCACAAGTAATTTATATATAGTTCTCTACAATTTTGGAAGCCTACAGACAAATCTCAGTAAATTAAAACAGCTTCTGTTAAGAAATAGTGAATAAAGTCCTCATTTATGCATATTATAAAGTACTCTTTTCATAGTAGTATTTTATTATCAAAATGTATTTCTAGAGTAAAAGGATTTACCTTTTAACTGTAACTGCCTCACTTCCAAGTCAGTGAAATAAAACAATTGCATGTAATAAGAGGATTCTGGTATCTACTAATTTGCACAGTATTATTTAACAGTAGTCTGAGAAATTTTTGTAGCAGAGATGAAGTGACAAGTCTGTTGTTTAATTAATTTTTAAATTAATTGTGTAAGAGGAAAAGTAGGAAAATGACAGTAGAAGACATTTCATTTCATGAATGATATTAAGTTATTAACATTGACATCCAAAATATCTTGGAATTTGGACAATGAAATGTATTCATAGAATACATATTCATAGAATTTCATAGAAAAATGTGCTCTGTGGAGCAGGATTGTTAATCAATTTTTTTCAATGGCTGATCTTTCAGAGAGTGTTAGTAACAATAATTTTTTCTCATGAAAAACAGTGATTTTTATGTTTTCTTTTTTAGGTAAGAACACAGTCCTGTGTCATTTGGGCACAAATTAAAAGTAAGTCAATTTTTACTTTAGTAAAAAGTCTAAGTTGTCATGGCTTTGCTTGGCAGCATAAACTAATAATTGCTGTGGCTGTTTCTTCTTTTGTGGTTCATGATCTGTTGACTTCAAAGATTGAAAATATTAGAGACAGGAAATTTTCCTTGCTCTTCACTATTCCGTTCCAATGGATTCAGCAATCTATTCTAAAATGGACTCTCCTGTTTTTCCCTGATTTTCAGTGTTGTTATTTCTGTGCATCACATCCAAATCTTTTCAGCAATTTCTCTGCACAAAGGATTTGTAGCACAGAAAATGTGAAATTTCAGAAGCCTATTTTAAGATAGTTTTATATTGGCTTAAAGATTTAAAAAATCAATCAAAGAACAACAACAATAACTAAAATTGAAACTATATTTAAAAAACCAACACAAAAATGAAGAAAAAACAACAAAAGGAAAACAAAAACCCACCCAAAACAACAAAATACAAAAAACCCAAACAACAAAAACCACCAATACATCACTGCAGTATGTTTTAGCTATTAGAGACCATATTTTTTATTTTAGAGTGTTCAGATGGTCCATGAAGAATTTTGCAGTCTTAAAAAAACCAGAAGATACTGTGCAAAAATGAAAAATATGGCTAATTTGTATACTGGTAAGCATAGTTTCTTAAGTATACAAGTGGCATAATTTTAAAACCCTGTAAATTTCTCAGTGTGGTTTTATTTTTATTTACTTTTTGACTTTAAAATATTTCCATAAGTTTACCTCAGAGGAATTTGGAATCCACTAGAGATCATATTTCCTTCCTTTCCACCATAGCTGAAACTACTCTTCACTGACGTCATGTTTCAGCAACAGCAAACATTTGCCTCCCCTGACAAAGAAAGCAGCATCGCTGAAGTCTCCTATGAGCCCTAGAATCTGCTTCTGTGTTAAAAATCTCAGAAATGTGAGTTAGGAAAGGCAGTAGTGCTGGGAAGTGAGACGGTACTTTGGAATGATGTCAAATCGTGTGGTGCATGGAGTGCTTGAGGTGCACCTCCTCCATGTCAAATTATCACTATAAGTGATCTATCTTATGGTGACAACTCTGTTTATTTCTAGGTTTTCTTTAGTTACTCTTTAATTATTCTTATGACCTAGTTCATTTACCACCACACCTAGAGTATAATGCAGGCAGTTCATTGTGGAGATTCTGCTAAGTTCAAGGGCTCCATAGGTTCAACTGTTCCATTGCTAGGACTGCTTAGGCAATAGCTGTAGAATAACTCTGGAAAGACAGAAGACTGTTCTTTTCTGAATTTGTCATTTATCAACATGCAGCGCACCATCAAAGACTGTCTTACAAATAGGTGGATTTTGTTTTGAGTCTAAAAGATTGAGCACAGGAAGAACAGAGTAGGTCAGCTCAGGCCTTTGGCTTTTGGTGTAAACCCATTTGCATTTATATTGAATGGACATATAGTCAAAGTGTCCTTTACCCTAATGTACTTCTGCAGCTGGAGAGGCTGAGAGTATTTTTGGCTTGGTGAATCCTTTGGGAAATATTCCTTCATTCAACTTGTGTGGAAGGCAAATCTGTAAATTAAATCTAAACCAAATTACCCTATTTCAGGTGCCATCTAGCTAGACAATGTGTGATAGATCATCATAAAAAATGGTAGAAAACTGTATTAAAAGCACACTTTTTCCTGCCACAAAAAAGTTAAATGAAGTTTATGGGTTTTTCATGATATGCAGTCTACAATATGGAGGGAAGACAATTCTGTAACTTTTATGGAGGGCTGATATCTTCTCTAGAGATGTGTAATTTGCTGATGAAAACTGGTGTTATAGTGCTACAAGGGCAGGTATATCTTTTACCAAAAATGAGCATCATAATATTTTTTTAAATACTCCAATTAATCTTTATTCCTCAACTGGATGGTAACTACCAGGTAGTCAGCTCCATTACTCTCATTCACTAAGCCATAAGTCCATAAGCCATGAGTTTTGTTGCTGTACTTCAGCTATGAGCAGACTGATGCTGCACTATTTGATTGGTTTGTTTGACTTGTTTGATACTTTCTTTCAGATTTACCACCCACTCTTCAATACATGACTGCTGTTGGATTAGGGTCAGTGGCTGCTGTCTGCCTTATATTGTTTGTGTCATTCTCCATGGCACGGTATGTGGTCTTGCTGCCTCCAGTCTTGCAATCCTCCTTCATGTGTTTTTCCTTTTCCGATAGATTTTCTTGCCAACATACTTGGTTTAGACATCATGGGTGCTTAGAAACTGTAATCAAGGGTGCTTTCAGTGGCCACTAATTCTATCCATTTCTTGAGCTGATGTACCTCTGTATCTTTGCAATTACTGGCAAAGCATCTGAAATGTGTTAATAAAGGAAGAATTTAAGACAGTGAATAGAATCAGGACTTTAGTACAGAAGTATTCTAATTTAATGGGAATTAAGTACATGAATTTATATGCTGTCAAAATGTTGATGCACTTCGCTTATGTACAGAGCTAATTTTTTGTCTTCCCAAATTTATTCAAAAGGCCTGAAAATAATTGTTTTACCTAAAGGCCATGAGAAAAACATGTTTAAAATTTTTAGAAGATTTATTCATGTTTCATGATCGTTCAAGCAGGGTCAGTAACTTCATAACTGTCTTTCTTTCAAAGTTAAAACAAAAATGCAAGTCCTGTACTTGTAAATGCCTACATACATGTAAAACCTCTTCACTAAAATCTATGTCTTTGTTGTTGTTTCAATATGCATATCTACAAGAATAGTCTTCTGATATGTTTCCCTTGAACAATCAGGAGCCTCCAGCTTGGGGACTATGAAATAGTGCATTGATTAGTTAAGCTGCTTATTTGGTGCTCTGAAACAGAAGGAATTAGCAGTATATAGGACTGAAGAAAGTAGGTCTATTTGGATTTTTTGTGGTTGTCTAAATTTCAAATCAGTTCTTGCAATCAAGATTCTGAATTAAAGGTTCCATGGTCTTATTTTTTTCTTTAAGTAACTAAATAAATGGATCTCAGGCTTCCTTTAGCAGCAGAATGCAGTGGTAAACTTGAACTTGCAGTCTTGGTTGTTTCTGGGGAATTTGAAAACACTGTCAGAGTCAGCTTTGATGTTTGAGAAAGAAGGGGCCTTTACTGTCTTGATTTCTACAGTAGCTGACTCCTGGCAGAGGACTTATTGCAGGAGAAAAGGGTTCCCTGGGCTCTCATGATGTAAAAGGCTTCTCAGTTATTTCAGTTTCTCTGGCAAAAATGTGGCAGAGGGATATTAGTACTTTTCAAAACTATGTCAAATCAATTAGGTTCACAGTGATAGGAGAGATATTTGAGATATGAGACAGTACTGGAATAATCATATATGAGTATGAGCCACATGTGAGAGTGCAGAGAAGATAGACTCTGAGCTTCCCCTTCAGCCTTCTTTGAAAAGGAGTGAGAGAAAATGAAATCCTTAGGAAGCTGATCACATTGGGTAAATTTGGCAGTGGTGTATTGTAGGGCACAAGCACTTAATAAGTCATCAAGTATCTTTTAGGCCCTTGATCCCATGTGCAGAGAAATTTTTTAATCCATTCTCCTGTTTTAAGGAATATCAGACAGAATCATTGACAGAAATTAAAATTGACACATCCCAGCAGTAGGCAAATGTCAGTTGTGATAAGACCCTACACAATGCTCACAAAGAAGTATCTGTAATATTTTAAATAAGAAACGTGCTTTTAGTTATAATTATCCATCAGCTTAAAGTATTTCTGAATAAGAATGTGATTTGAAAAAAAAACACATGAAGTCAGCCTTCTGTCCTATCCAGTTGTAAAACCATGGTCCTGTTCTATACACTTCTGCAAGACAGATGTGGTCCAGAAGGAGAAAAGGAGAGTGGAATTTGATAAGAGAGACCTGAGATCTATTTAATCTAAATGCAAACAGGGCATTCTAGTGGTGGGTGCTTAGCCTGGCAGAGAAATTTTTGCCAAGAAGCATAATATGTAAATATACAAAATGCTACTACATAAAGATCAACTTTCTCCTGTTGGTAGTGCCAATTGTACATGTATGGCATACCCATGTGCTTCTGAATTGTAGGAGAGGGAGGCATGGGAACAAATTGTGAGTACAGCTTCTGGGTGGTCTGCAAGAGGAGGTTAAACAAACTTGTCAGTAATGAAATAGCTATGGCTGATCTTGCCATGGTGTCAGGTGAATGGTCTTGGATTATTTCTTGGGCTCCCTGTAAGCTTTGGTCACAAAGAGCCACTGTATTCAAGTGCTCACCAGCTTGCCACATGTCTGCTGTCTCAGGAATTATGTTTCCACAATGGGTCAGGGTGTGAATTCCTGCTAGCGTGGCTGCTGACAGCAGTTCCAACTGTTCCTCAATAAGTGTGGAACTGCATTCACAAAGTAAAATCTGACTGCTGATGTCCTTAGATTTTATATTTTTAATTTTAAAAAGTGCATTAGCCCATAGTTGTTATTATTAAAGTCTCTCTTCATTCATACACCTTGCTCCATTCCTCTTGCTTTGTTTTGTATGTGATGTCGATTCATAGGCATAAAGACAGTGCCAGAACTCTAGATTTCTGAAGATCTGCACTGGGCATCAGTGTTGTTGAAGCCAAGGTTAACACTGGTCAGGTAATCATCTGATAACCTGTGGGAATGCTTCCTACCCATCTCACACTGGCTGTAGTGATCAGGATATGTAGCAGCACCATGCGTCTTCAAAAACCTTCAGAAGCATTGTCATATATCAATTAATCAATATGAGCAATACAAGTTCCCTGTCAGGTCTGTGCTTGAGCCTTGAATCATTTGTAAGATTTTTTTTTTAACCAGAACTTTTTTCTCTCTCCAGCTCTTGTCTCCACAGCTCAGTGCACTCCCCACCTGCTGCTGTAGCCTGTGAGGCTGTACATTTATCTACCACAGTAGACATGACACAAGCAGGGATTGCATCATCATTCCTAGAGACTGAAAGTGTCTCTCTTCTCTGATGGTTTATTCCCTGAAGTCAGCCTAGAAAAAAAACATGCTCTTCTTTCAAAGCCAGCATGTGTCTGGTATCTGCATGTCACAAATGTACTACAGCATGGACAGTTTAAATGTGTTTGCCACTGGAGTGAGATTTTTATTGTCTTGCCTTATTCCAGATGGTGTGGTGTGTAAAGGAGAACCTTCCCTCATAAGCAGGTTATCATGCATCCCATGTGTTGGTCACAGTCTTTCAGCTGCATGAGTGCCTGATAATGAGTGCTTGTACTGTACTTGATTACATGAACAATCCCCTGATCCAGCTAAGACTGTTTGAGGATTAACTGCTACTTTAGATACCTTTGCACACATAAACTGGCCTATTATGAATGAAAATACAAACCTACCCTTATCTGAGGTGAAGTGCCTATTGTATTTCCGATTACAAAGGTTGAACACTTCTGTCAGTCACTTACAAGTAATGATACATCACTTGTTAGCCATGAAGTTGCCACACTGAAGTAGTGTCAGCAATTTATGTGTTCCAGAGATATTGCAATCATTACTCATAGCAATTTGCAGTAATTGCTATGATATATGCAGTAATATACCACTCTATAAAATTGCAGTTTGCTCAAAAGCTTCTTTCTTTTTTAATGGCATGTGAAACTAATTTAAGGAAGGACTTCCCTGTTAAGCGCAGTTTTGTTAATCTCTGTTCTATAATTACAGCTGAGTAAAGCCATTAAATCAGTGTTTCTGGTGTGTAACATCTGGTTAGAGTCACTTCATAAAATACAATTAACCAATTTCCTATGGCATACTCCAAGTTAATACATTTTTTTTCTTCTGTAAGAAAGAATTAAGTGGCTTTGATTATTTCCATTCGTCTTCAGAAGTTTCTTTGTTATATGTTAGCAAAAAAGATGTCAACTAGTGAAATAAAAAAGCAGGAGTTTTGGTTTTGTGATTTTTTTTTTCCTGAGTTATGTGTTGTGTTTTACCACTTATATACTTAAGTATTACTTAAATATATACGTTACTTAAATATATGCTGTGCATTTTTGGAATTGTTAAGTTTCTGAATTGCTAAGATTCTGATGCCTACTGCTCTTATAATTTTAGGTGTTCTGTCTCTCTACGACATGTAATTAGGGTCTTTTTGGGTTTAAAGTGCAACAGCAGATTTCATGGTTAGAAGCAAAGAGGAGTTACAGCCAAAAAGAGTTTTCACTTGCTGCATCCAGCTGAGAGTGCTTTTTCCAGGTCTGGGCAGATACCATTTCTGTTATCCAACATTTCCAGAGCTGTCCTTCAAGTTACTAGTTAATAGCTAAGTAACACCTTTGTCTACATTAGGGATTAAAAATTGATAGTTGGTAGTTTTCTGTTGCTAATTGAGAAAGAATAACTAAACTCTTCATACTGGGAAACCATGCCTTAATTTTTCAGTTTCTCATGTGTAATTCATTCACATACATTTCATGCCTAATTCCCTTTCTCAATGGAATAAATTGCAAGGTTTAGTATAGAGTATGAACTGCACCACTTCCAGTCTCCTGCTGTTCTGGTCCTTAGAGAGAGTTCATGAGCAGCTGCTCCTGTGTAAGGGAGAGCTGGAAAGGCTGGAAATTATTTAGAGAGGCAGATATGCCATCCTTTGTGAAAAAACAACTTCTTTTAATGCTTTGCTGAAACAGCCAGAGTTCCAGTATGCTACACTTAGATCAGGACTATAAAGTCTATCTTGTCAGTGGGTATAATTGGAAAACTGGAGGTCTTTGTGTAATCTTCTGTAGGTTATTTCTTTTCTGTGTGCCTCTTTTTTACCTAAGTTGCTTTTTCATAAAGTAAAGTTTTCAGAGCAAAGTTTTTTTCTTACAAAACATCCATACTTCTGCTGGTAGTTAGATAACGTATTTAATGACTGATTTGGTCATCTCTACACAGTGGAGCTTCTTGAAATGCCAGAATGGACTGATAAGGGAGACAAGATGAGGCAAGACTCTTTCATCTTCCATTTTGCACAACAGCTACAGTTCTGCAAGTTTTCCTCATTCCCTCTGCCTCCCTTGTCATTCTTGGCAGACCTACCTCTGGCTGTGAGCCATTTTCATCTGTGTTTG